GATTATAATTCTGTTTTGAGCTAACCACGCACGACTCTCCGAGGATTTTTAGCTGTTCTTAACGGAGGCGCTGAAACAGTCTGAAGGATGCTTACTGAGCTGATCCATCGTCAAACCAGGTAAAGACTTCTTCGACCAAGTGTACCGTGGGCAAAGCTGAGATACCTGATGGGAGCGTGCAACTTCTGGTCAAACAGATTAAATTCCCTCACACAGTTCTCTGTAAGATAATCTCCTTTCATCTTAAACTCTTCTCTCTCATAAATCAGTACAGATATTTTTAGAAATATCTGAAGCAAAGTCCTCGAATCACCGCCGAGTGATTTGAAGTTCATTTTCTGTGAAACTGTCTGTTATTATTTTCATATTTTGCCAAATTAATGTAAATGTTTGATGTTAAACTTTGATTCTGAAAATAAATGATTCCATTCATTTGATGGGTCAAAGGTAATAACGTCTCTCGTTCGCATTCCTTTAAACTCAATGCACGGCATTACACAGTCAGAAAAATGAAGAACTCGTGAATATTGTATGCATATATAATTCATATATTTGTCATACAACAAGTGACACGTACCTCACGTGACTCACTACATAACTTTGACAAATCGTGAACTAAGAAGCGCATTTTCATGATTAAAGCTTTTACTCTACCACCATATTAGGAGGACTCACCCAGCACACGCACTTTTTGCCCCGCTCCCCTCAGGCAGGAGGTTCAGGAGCATTAAGTGCAGAACCACTGGACTGAGGAACAGCTTCTACCCTGAGGCTGTTAGACTCATGAATCTCTAACCAGAATAATCACTGTGGAAAATCACATGTTGCTGCTGATCTGTTTCATGTTGCTGCTGATCTGTTTCATGTTCAGGTGTTCATTCGTGCTCATCTGCTCACACAGACTCATGTTCGTGCTGCTGTTCGGCGTGTAGTTTTTATGCTACTAGTGCTTAGTGTGTTTTTAGTCAACGTTTTTCCTCAGTTCATATCTTAGATCTTATTACTGTTTTTCTTCTACATTTTATTGTTGGATGTAACTGGGACCCTGTGCACACAATTTTGTTCCACCACATGTACCGCATGCGGTGCGTATGACAAATAAAAAACCTTAAATATTAACATCAGAAAACAAAATGCAACACGACCAGCAAACGGTCAAAGTCGTGTGGAATAAGTTGCATCATAACAAATAAAAGGAGGTGGGTAAAATAAAAACCTAAACATCAGACACGTTGTTGGAAGTGCCTCCAGAGTAACTTCAAAGCCAAATATGACAAAAAACGCATCTTTGCTGTCACCGTTCCTGTTTTTGGTTACAAAAAGCGTAAAAGATTTGGCGACATCTAGTGGCAGAGTTGCAGAATGCAGCCAACTTGAGAGAAAATGCTCGATGCTAGTTTTTTTCAGACGGACCAGTTCTAATGAGAACACAGTGACTTTTGAAACACGTCGAGAACACGACAATCTGCCGTCAACCCCCATTTTTATTCTTAAAACATCTCTAAACTACAAACTTTAAAAAAAAATTGCCCTCGGCTGCGACATTTTATCGTACTCCATTCTTTGACTTGAGAAAGCTCCTCAGATGAGAAGCAAAACATCTTCAGCTACAAAATAAAGTCCAGCTGTTTTGTTTTTAACTTTTTTATTTTTTTTTTTATTTACCATGTCCTGGATGACTGAGAATCTTCACTAGCATACTGGGTCCAGTTTGTAGAACCTTAGTGGTTCCTCGTGGTCTTTCCATCGTTGCTCAGTTCTCTGAAGTCCTCCAGAGTTCCAACCATGTTGCGATTCTGGACTCTGACTGGACTGTTGCAGAACCTTGGTTCCATTCTGACCCGTACAGTTGTAGATCAGCTGCAGTGTTCTAGATCGTGGTTCTGTTTGACCCAGTTTGAGTCATGCTTCGGCTGTTTGACTCCAGAACTCTTTGGTCTCCAGAGGGGTTCTGGTCCACTCAGAGACTGACGAAAGCCCAAACAATCAACCTTGCACCACCATGCTGACAGCTGGGAGGAGATGTGTGCTGCGGTGCATTCTGGGTAAACATCTGTCCTCTGCTCTGGTTCTGGTCCAGAAGTCTTGTGGTTCCTTCAGATGAAACTTTCCAAACCTAAGTCAAGCTGCCATGTTGTTTTTAGAGAGAAGAGGTCATGACCTTTGACCTCCTGACTGAGGCCTGTAGAGTCACTGCACAGTCTGACCTTCAGGGTGAATTCTGTTTGCAATGTTTTCCACTACTTTCTGTAGAGTGATGGACTCCAGTTAGTTTGAAAATGACCTTTGACCCTTCTCAGATTGATGGGCAGCAACAGCTGCTTCTCTAAGGTCATTGTCTTTCCGCCCTGGTTTTGTGTTGACCCACACCTGGATGCTCCAGAGCAGAGGTGGACCCACTTACTGTTTAACGGTCCTGTGGAAGAAGAAAACCCAAAACCTTCCAGAGAGGAAGGAGTTACAGAAGAGGCGGCCATGTTGGAACTTCCTGTCGTTAAAAGTCTGACTGGAGTACCAGAGGCGAGCTGGACCGGGCATGTGGGGAAAACGTGTCTTCTGGAGTTTAACTGAGTTCTGACTTCTTTTTGTAAAACTGAAGCCGAGGAGAGAAAAAAAAAAAAAACCCTAAAACGATGAGCAGATTTTCTGCATCCTTCAGAGGAACGGAACATTTCCACATTTGTTCTCCATCTGTCGGGCGGGCCTCGGTCCGGTTCTGTGGTTAAATCTGTAACGCCGCCACCTGTCAGCAGCGTCGACGGACTCGGAGCCGAGTCAAACGGCGGGAAATGTTTCCTGACGAGCAGAAAGACTCAGAACTTCTGAGTTTCTGCGTTTTAGATAAATGTAAATAAAAAGACCGAGCTGCGTACCCAGAGGCCCCTGTTCCCATGACGACACGGCTATGAGAGGGATTTCAAAATAAAGCTTCCTCTGGCCTCCTCTCAGAAAGCTAATTATTAAAAAGCTATTCTTATCATTTTCACTCTAAACGAGATAAAACACATTAGAATAAGGAATGGAAACATAAAAAAAAACTCATTATAAAAAAACTAAAATTACATTAAAACTCAAGTTATTAACATCTTTAGTGTTTCTGTAAGAGGGCCAAGGATTAGACATCGTCTGGATACAAGTGAAAAATAAACTTCCAGTGGATTAGCAGAAAGACAACGATGAAATGATGCAATCTTCTGATATCTGGAGACGAGATCAAAGGATGCACGGTAATAAAGTGACTTTCTTTGAGTCCTAATAATTCACATTTTATGCAATTAAATGTGAATCCTGACGTCATAAATCAAAGCTGTGCTGTGCGTGACAACAGAACCCCTGAACCAGGTTTAAATAAAACATAGAAACGTGTAGAGTTCTCTGGAACCGGAACGACTGAGACCAGAACCTTGAGGAGGGCGAGAACACAAACTGTGACGGAGGACTTCACGCCGGCCTCGGCCCGTCTCGTTCGTTTTCAGATTTCTTGCTAACGAATAAACTGAAATGAGTTGCACAAACCTAAATCCTCCATATCAGGGTTGATGCTGCCGGACCGGTTGCCATGGCATACATCCGACACCGCCACCATCCTGCATCACAAGCCGTTGTCGTGGTAACGGGTGCTCCACTGTCGTCGACGAGGACGAGCCACGTAGAAACAAGCTCCAAAATAAAAGTAGGTGGATGCAGTTTTATCTGGAAAAATAAAAGTCACTAATTTAAGCAATCTGCACTGATGGATTTAAATGCAAATGACAAACCATTTGGACAATATCTTTAAGATAAACTGGACTTATTAATATAATTTTATTTACTTTCCAGCCTCTGTTTTGACTTAAAATTGTTTCTTATTTTTAATTGTGATGTACAGAAACTCCACGTTAGATCTTTAAAAAAAAAAAATCATGGTCAAAACTTATTCCCTCATTTTTAATCCATATGGAATCAAAATAACATTTTGTTTAAGCAATGTATACAGTATATATTTTAATTTGGTTTCGACACAAGATTATTTTGGTATTTAACAACGATGCTGGTCTAACTTTGGTGTGAAGGATTTTAGTCAAAATGTATCATTCTTACTTCTCCTGGAGAACATTTAAAAGTTTTTGGTGCCATTTCTTTGATTGGTTTCTGTCTGAATAACATGCAGTTTAAAAAAAAAAGACAAATGTAATTGTTTTTCAGACTTAATTTAGTGAATATATGCACTGATTTTGATTATCAACTAATTGAAAGGAAATAAAACTAAAACAAATTCTTCTAATTTTAAAGTTTCTGACATTGTTTGACTGATTGTAAGCTGTCACTTTCAATATTATCACTTTTATTGTATTTTTATTCATATTGTTGTATGTATATTTAATTAATCTGAAGTTATAATTATTTTTTTTATTTTTTCATTCAACCTTTATTTAGATGGGTAAATCCCATTGAGCCTCGAGGACTCCTTTACAAGAGACCTGATTAAACAACGCCTCTAATATAATGACAGAACAGCGCCCCTAGTGGATAATAACAGAACAGCGCCCCTAGTGGATAATAACAGAACAGCGCCTCTAGTGGATAATAACAGAACAGCGCCCCTAGTGGATAATAACAGAACAGCGCCTCTAGTGGATAATAACAGAACAGCGCCTCTAGCGGCGGATGGTGGAACTGCGTGTTGCAGCACTTTGCAGGCTGCTGGTGCCGCTGATGGAGTGGGCGGGTTCGGGGCTGCTGTATGGTCGAACCGGGCCGTTCGTCTGCACCGCCAGCATCATAAAAAGGCGCTTTGTGCCCCGATAATCCGCTCTGATGTCACGGTGCAGAAGGAGGGGCTGAGTTTTCCGCTTTAATCCGACCAGGTTGTTGTCC